CAGCTGCCCCTGGCGCACCAGACTGCTTTGGGCGAGAAGCTGTACCTTGATCGGCTTTGCATGGGGACTCCTGCAGCTTTACTTACAGGAGAAATAAAAGTTTAGGGCACAGAAAGTCCTCCCTGCTGCATGCTTTTCCCTATTGCGCCTACAACACTGGACATTGAAGCTGCTTGCTGCCAGTGGTGCTGTGCAAGGCTGGCTGCCGTTCGGCACTGGAAGTGTACTCATGTCCTACTAGAGGCAAAGGTAGAACAAAAAATAGAAACAGGAGATTGAAATGGCACTCGAAATGTCAGTAAATCAAATTGCTTCTCTCTGCTCTCTTGGCTGAGGGTGTCCAGTTGTTGTGTTCCCTTAGGAAAGGGTTGGTACATCGTATTAGTGGGATGAAGCTTGACTTCAAAACACTCAATTTCTTTTGCGTTGATGAAGTCTACAATTACTACTCTGTCTGTGGATACTTAAATTTTGTTTTAAATACAAATTTCTCCCAGTTCTTTTAAAAGCCCTTCATGTAGTGCCATCTAGTGGTTTTTGCGGTGTAGTGCAGACAGCATTACATGAAAACTGAATTTTAATTGCTATTGTATTTTAAAGTATTTCTATTTAGAGGATGAAGTAGCACACTCTTCCTGTTTTCTTTTGCAAACCTTAACTTAGAGTTCTAAATCCCCGTGTATCAGTGTACATGTTATAAATTAAAACTGAGCTGAACAGCCACAGCAAAGCTGGCAGTGGCTGGTTGCCAGGGGTAAAGCAATATTTCCACTCAGAAATAAAAATAATAAACAGAAGTTTTCTGGAAATCAGTATACCAGGAATAAATATACAGACTGGAATGACAATAAAATCAAAGACGTGATTGTGAAGCCATGCAGGGAGAGGTGAACATCAGCTCCCTGCCTGGGCACCAGGCTGTCAGACAAAATTGCTCAGGATATAGAATTCTAGTAACCTTTCCTGTTGCACAAAGAACATCCAGCCTAGTTAATGACATTTTTGATGCTTCAAGAATGTTCTCTAGGTAGGTCTATTACAGTAGTTGTCCAGAGATTGCTTTGTGATCCTTTATAAACTTACCACCTAAGGGACGTTTGTCTTCACTTTCAGTTACTGGATTTTGGAGTGGAGCATGTGAGGCTTGACATAAATTGTGCTTGCTTATAAAATTTGGAATTTGGTATATATTTGGAAATCAGATAATGATCGCCTTGAACTTGTAAGAGAAATACAATTTAAGTCTTAAACTGGTTGCTTTATTTTTGCAAAGTTTTTAATGTTTATTACCTGAGTGTTTGCAGTGAGGTCTGTACAGCTTGCTCTGCTGTGCAGATCTGTCTACAGCAAGGCACTGGGTTAGTCCTGGTGAGCAGGAAATCCAAATTTATTCTCAATCTAATGGGAGTGAGAGAGTGCTTCTGTGCAGCAGGGTTAATGCTCAATAAATCTGCTCTGCACAGTTTGATGTAGTTATGAGGACAAACTGCCTCGAGTTCCCTCACACTTCATTTGCATAACAGAATGTGTGACAGCAGCTGCTGCAGCACAGCCTCCAATGGTGCCACTGCCGCCTGTTACCTCATCCTTGGAAAAGTCATAGTGAACAGCCCAGGGAGAGTACTCAGCTGGAAACTCATCATTTTGTGGGGTCAGGACAACTTTCTTCTCAATTTCACCCTTGAAATTACATAGATCATGGCTGCACAAGCACTACTGCTGCAAGCTGCATCTTCTGAGGAGGGTACAAAGAGCTCAAGCGTTCCACATCTTGGATCAGTCCAATATGTCAAGAAATAATGTTTTAACTTCTGGCAAAATGTCTCAAAGTAAGTATCAAAATGGGGCATTAGCATGATGATTCTGTATCTGTGTCTGTGCGATACAAGCCAATTTTGGCTCATCGGAGCTGATTGATGTTCTAAAGATACAACCTAAATGTTGTTCTAGAGGTACCACCTACTAAAAATACAGATAAATTGGTTTTCCTGAACTGTTTTTCTCCCTTTAATAGGGGAACCGGCAATTTGCTGGCTAGTCCTTAATGAGGTAGGCACTATTTTCCTGAGCTGCTTTGTTATGTTAAGTCAAGGCAGTAACTAATGACTAAGTACAGACAGGCTACTCCTCTTTGAGCTTTTCAGGGGTCTGGAGCCTGTAGCTGTTACACAGATTACTGAGAGTGATGAGGAGTCTTCATGGTAGGAAAAATTACAGAACCAGTACAGACGTACTAAAAATTTCATATCGTGTCCCATGCATGGAAATTCCACATCACAGTTCACCTTGCATTGAGGGAACCACCTGTGGCGGAGCAAACCACCAAATGCTGATTAAAGCCCATATTACATTTTTAAAGTAACACTGACTGAAATGTGTAAGTGCTGTAGCTGTGTGTACCTTTGGGTTATTCTTTAATTGTAATATTCTCAGCAGAAACACAGGCAGCCCATGTAAAATAAAACAATTTTTTATGGGAACAGGAGTAGGAGTTTTAAAATGACTGTAATTGTGTAACTAACTTTTATACCCCAGTCACTCTCACTTCAGCAGTGTTTTGACATAGGTTTCTTAATTTTTGTGGATTTTGGGGGGGATTAACTAACTACTGATATTGAAACTGTTGCTAATGTGCACATGAAATGTGTACATCTCATTCGCAAAACAAACTAAAAAAAAAAAAGTATGTCCTAGAAGTTGTATTTATTTTCTCAGTATGACTCCATATGGACAGAACCTTTGAGGGAGTCAGCCTTTCAGTACTTTGTGCCCTTTTTTCTACCTATTCTTACACTGTGGACATAAATAGTGAACCCCTAATTATTCATCCCTTTTATTTGCTAGATAATACTCAGTATTTAGGTAAATAGATTGTATTCCCCTACGCTCTTATAGAATTACACTTGTATTACTTAGGGATGAAAGAATCTGGTTTTGGAACACTGAGAAAAGATTGCAAAGGAAACAACCCTTTTCCCCTAAATCCAGTTTTGGTAATGTGGAGGCCTTTTATGCATTATGATATTGTGGGGAGTAGATGTAATAAATAATATCAGATTGGTTAGATAAAAATATACATTGACCCATATATCACTCCAATACATCATGCCATGAATATTTGAATGTACAGAATTATCAATGCATAAAGTACACAGAACAATTAAATTGTGGCTTGAAATATTGCCAGTCTTTAAACAGAACATGTGCAGAATGTAACAAAAACATCAGTTTTGTAACAAGACATATTCACAGTAGAAAGACAATTCAGTTAGAGGAGGAGTTACACAAGTAAAAAGTAGCTACATGCAAAGGAAGAAAAATGGTGAATTAGGAAACTGGGTTTTAAGGGTTAGCCAAAGATTTTGCAGTGGGAAATTTGGTCTCTGACACAGACAAATTGTGAAGTCCAGAAACACATAGATCTGTTTCCCAAAGACATTACTAAGCTAAAATAAAAAATGCTGTAAGCAAGGGTATTGTTGGTGGATATTTCTTTTGTTTCTAATTCCCTATAGTAAGAGCCAGGAAGATAAATGTAGGTTCATAAGTGTGTATGCTTATCTACTTATTTCAGTCTCACCCTCCAGCTCCATGAAGGAAAGAGAGAAGAAGAAAACAGCAGTGCAACCTGTTCATATTTGTACATGGCTCTCTTCCAGGCAATGTGTTACATTGAGACAAAGAGAGAAAAATAAAGTCTCTGGAGTCTGCTTTGCCATAAATTATATTTCTGTATTATTGGATTTCCATTTTTTTCAGTGATCCTATCCTGGTGTGCAATTGGTACAATAAAGGGAGGAATCCATTTGAAAATTAGTGTTTGCAGCCTTGCAGCTTGTAACATGAGGACCATAGTAAAACAAGGCCAGGTCTGATGGGATTAAACTGGTCCGTCATTAACTGGTTTACGATGATGACAGAGGTTGTATTGCAATGCCCCTGGGATTTATAGTTTGGCTTTATTTTTCTGATTAGAGCAGGCAACAGAGAGAGCCTATAAATACATTTTCTCATCTTATAATCGTCTTAGTTAATGATGCATAAGTGGATGGATTTCCAGCCATATGTTGCTAGGGCCTCTGTGCAGTTGAATGGGGGATATACCTTCAAGGGTTAGTTAAAATTGAAGCTTCTGTGACTGACAGAATTATTTTAGTTCATATGCTGCAACTTCTGCTCTATATTTTAACACACAAATTCTTTCTTGGAATAGAAGTCCCTTAGTTTAAACAATGGAAAATCTATTGTGTTTTCTATCACCAGCTTCCACAGAACAAAATTTTGGTTCAGGGAACATAAAATTCATAAAAATAAGTGTCACTCAAATATTTTGTAACATGGGGTAGGAAGATTTGCCTCCTGTACTTCCAGATGGGAAAGCAGTCCCAGCCAGCAGTGCTGCTGAGCATAGACAGGCTGTTCTGATTTGCCTCTGCAAACCCAGTCATAAAATCAGTGGATTTGGGATTAGAAGGCCTATGGCATTGAGACAGCCTATCCTAATGTTAAAAAGGGATACAACTTGAAGAATAGAAAATTAGTATAGTAGAAAAAATCCAGCTCTCCCAGTGTGCTCGAAGATGTATAGGCCACTTAGATACAACCACATACACTACAGCAGGAGTGGATCTATGCAGGTAAAGAGTCAGTCTGACTCTCCACACTGTACATTTTTCACTTCAAACTCCGTCTAGTCTGGTTTGGTGGATTGGACACACAGTTCCACCTTAGAGAAATCCAGGTTATGCACTCAAGACTACTTTGGGATATAAAGTAAGGAAGGAGGGGATCAGAAGTGCACCGTAAATTCCAAATAGAACTCTTGATACAGATCCACCCCAATTTATTGATATTAAATCACTGTAACAATAAAAAAGCCTTCACTATTGAGATATTTTACCCATATATCACAAAGAATTTTACAAGTGTGGTTAATGGTGATTATAAGTTTCTCAGAGAAATTATCACCTGCTCGTTCCCTTGACTTCCTTAGGAACATCCATCTCACTACAAAGCAGTCAGCTCTTACCCAGAATTTCTAAGTCACAGACAGAGCAACAACTACTGTGGATGTGGCTCATAATGCTTTTTCTTTTTTTATTTTACAGTCCTATAAACTTTAGCCTTCTTTCATTTTAGAGTTCTTTCTCAATGTGTTTACCCATTTTTAACATCCAGGACAAGAAAATAAATAAATCAAAAATGTGCCTGGTTGATCCTGTTATGACCAAGTGGCTTTGCTTGCTTGCTGCAGATGCAAGTAGTTGTCTGAGGGAGCTCTCAGACATGATTCAAAGAGCAAGTCACCAAGAACAAAACTATCCTTACAGCCAATTCTCTGCTAAGTCCCCTCCTGCCCAGTCCAAGACTTCCAGCAAGGAATCTGTGTTCATGCCTGGGAACATGAGTAATCCCTTTGAGCTTATGCTGGAAAGGTCAGTTGTTGCAGCTTCTTCCCCCACACAATTTGATTTCTTTATTCTATATTTTGAAAAATGAGGAACTCCTGATGAACACACTTTCACAGACAGGCAAGCCATGGCACCTTTTTCCAAGATACCAGTAGCAGTGACTTGATAGCAATGATGCAGTTTCTGTCCTTCTTCTTCCCACACAGATTAAACACTTTCCTCTTCTTTCGTGATGCTATAATCTGTTAGCAGTGTGACACTGATTTCTGAGCCATGCATGCTGCCTGTGACTGACAGGGCTCTGGTAGGAGAACTGCTCTGGGGAGCACTGGGAGACTTTGCACAGAATGCTGCCTTGCAGCATGAAACTTGCTTTTTAAAATGTTGCCGGAAACTTTTACTCAGCCAATAAAGAGCAAAGGGATTGACGCAGGAATTGCTGAAGGCCAAGGCACGGGAAAAAATAGTTGCTATCAGATGAAAGGCAGAAGCATTGACAGAAGTGTGGTAGGTGAAAGAGCGGTATAGGTACAGGATGTGGTTGGGCAGCCAGCAGAAGGCAAACAGAGCCACAAGCACCAGCACTGTCTTTGCAACTCTCTTGCGGGATTCAATCTACAAGAAAGAAATGCATAGCTGGTGTTAACAGCAATTAGTAAAATGTTTGTGTTGTTGGTGCTGATTTGCAAAGCAGGGTAAAAGTCTAAATGCTTGAGTAACCAAAAAAGCAAAAGGTAAAAATAAAAAGAGCAAACAAATAAAACCCCAAACCAGAAGACCTAAACTAGAAAATAAATCTATTTCATATTTTTTTAACATTAAAGCATTCCCAGTGAAGAGCACATTTCTTTTCCATTATACATCATATGACACTCTGATCTAGACAAGGCCTTCAAAATACAGTAATTAATGTGTCAGCTGACATGGATGAGGTCCCAGTGTTTAAAATTCAATGTTTTAACTCTTGAGTTTACAGGGTCATGATAAAGCACAACAGACCCGTCTCTCTTTAGCAAAGAGTGGACTCTCACAAATGATGAGTCATGAGCATGTGCCTAAGTGCACAGATTAGTTTGGATTCAAATTTGGTACGGGCTAAGTTTGTGGAGCTTTTTACTCCATTATGAGATAAAATTTTGTACTTAAGAATTAGTATTTAATCAATACAATAGACTATGGAAAATTTGAGAGTTTAGTGCTTGATCAGAGCTTACCTGCTTACGGGCATGAGAGTGTTCTTCTGCTGGCATGTTGGATGTACTTTTATATAAAGTTCTGGCGATAAGAAAGTAGTAGACAGATATGACAGCTAAGGGCACAATATAGAACACTAAGAAGCAAACCAGAGAGTGAGCTTCCTGCAGGATCTTCTCAGATACAGGATAGGGGGCACACGCCTCAAAAGTTACATTTTTCTCAGGATTGCTGAAAGAATATAAATCTGAAAAAACAGCCTCTGGGATAGCAAATATCATGGAGACAATCCAAACACAGCCTGCTTTACAGCAGGTCTTCAGGAGTGCATCTGAAGTCTGCAGTTCCAAGGGTTTAACGATGGCTCTGTACCTAAAATGACCAACATCGCTGTCAGAATAAACACAGAAATAATGTGAGCACATACTGCAAAATTCTTAAGGCTAAACCCATTACTGTTCTTGCTAAACTAAAGGGTGCTGGAATTCTCTTGGAAGTGAAAGCAGACACTAGCTCTTTGGAATTAAAATCAAAATGTAAAAATTAATTTCAGGCATGTATTTTAATGGATTGACAGGCAGGAGTTGCCATTAAAAACTTCCTGTGTAAAGATGACTTCTAAAGTTTGGATTGGGATCACTAAGGGCAATCATCACCTAATTTTATGACACTGCCTTGAAAGATAAATGAGGGAATTAGTATGCAACATTGATGACCGTATGAAGCAGGTTAACTATTTTATAAATAGATGAAACCAAGCATGTTTGCCCCTCCTTTCTTCTGTCTCCTTAAGACCCCTTCTGAGTGCAGTGATCTGACTCAAAATAATGCTCCAGGATTCATTCTTATTTATAAAGCAGGAGAGGGCACTGCTGTTGATTCATGCCTGTGATTTTGCAGCATATGGACTGAGTCAGGCACACAAGAAGAATCTGGATTAATCTCTAGATGTGTGACAATATGTGTGGAAGTGGGACATGGAAAAAGACCAGCTTCCATGAAGGCGGATGAAGCACAGGAGGATCAGGGAGTCTTGATAATGCAGAAAGAAGCAACCCCTACAGGGAAGCACAAGGCTGGCATGAAAAGAAAGGTGGTGAAAAAGGACCCAGAAGATAAGAAAGCTTAGTTGTATCATTTTTCACAAGCTGAGGATCTGGTCTTTTTCTCCTCTAGGCAAATTTAAATAGAAAGCTGGAAGCTGGCTTGCTATCTATCAAATACCATTTTTTATTGACTTTGAGCTCTTCTAGCATATTGGAACACAACAGTCTGGCATTAAGCCCATGACTGATCTGAGCTTGCTTTGTAAGTTTACGATGTAGTTACTCTGTGAGAATGTAGAAAAGAGTATTTATATAACAGCTACCATGAAGAATTAAATACAGAAGCAAGTGTCTAAACCACAGAATCAGAGAAGAGTGGGGGTTGGAAGAGATCTTTAAAGGTCATCTAGTCATGGTGAATTCTGAATTTACATCCTACAGAACCAAGACCTTGGAGCTATAGGTATATAGCTATATAGGTAGTTCAATGTAAACATTAGTTTATCTTCAGCAGTAGTTAAAAAACCCCTAAAATAAACCCAAACTAAAACAACAACAAAAAAGCCAAATGTTAGGTAGTATTAGGAAAAAAATGGAGAACAAAAAAGACAATTGTGCAATTACCTGTATCCCTGATTCATGCAACTTTTGATTATCATGTGTTGCTCTGCACACCTTAACTAAAAGAAACACAACCTAAGGATGGATTATGACATGAATAGCCTGGAGGCATGAAGAGGGATCACTGTCTCTTCCGACACAAGCACCAGCACCATCAAATTAAGCAGTGCAGAAATAAAAGGAGTTACTTTGTACAGGTAGTGAAAGTCATTGCTGAGGAAGTTCAAGAAAAAGCTGAACAAGTATCCAAAAGAGAAATCCTTTGAGGTTATTAAATAGACAGAAACAACATCTGTTTAGTGTCATCTGAAGGCATAGGGTTAAAAATGTAGTTGGATGGAGGTTTTTATTCTTCCTATGTGTCTTTTCTTGTCCTTATACTACCACTGCTGGAGGCTAGTATTGGTCTACATGGATCCTTGATTTGACCCTATGTGGTCATTCCTGTGCTGGCTGATTATTTTGGCATACAGCAACAGTACCACTGTTAAAATTCTGAACACATGAACAATTTGCTATTACATACAATCCACAATTGCTGGCAGACAAGATGATCTTTTTTCTCTCTCAATACTAAATTTAATTTTTTGTTTTTCTACTCCTCAGTGGTCCTGCTCCTGCTGATTGAACTGAAATCTCCTCTCAGTTTTGTTCATTCGAGAAAGAAGTACACAGAAGACAGATTCAGCACTTCCTGACAGCAGTCACAATACTGATCCCTCCTAGCAATGCTGTCATTGCAACCTGAGTTTAATTTCACGACCTCTGGGCTAAAATGTAAAAGACAGAAGAACTACAAGACAAAAAATTTTTTATATATATGCACTTCTCAAGGTGAAAATTACATTAGCCATCAAATCATGAGAGTCATTCCTTTGTCCCCCAGTCTGTTCTGTTTTCTTTTGGCTTTTTATCCCATGTCAGTCTTTTATTTTCTAGATTTTAAAGCATCCCTGAGTGCATAGGTTATAGAATTTCCACTCATAATCAGTTTTATTTTTCATCTTCCTTGACTCCTTCACTGTACCACTAGATAGCACCAATATACTGTCTTTTTCCCAACTTAAGCCATTTCCTTTTTCTGTGCAATTGAGAAAAACCCTTGTAATGTACCTCAAAGTAATAAAAGGTCAGAAGAGTTAAAGAGTTTTCCTCACCTCACTCCCTTAAAAAGAAGTACTACATTTTTACTAACACGCATTTTTAAATTACATGGGAGGCTGGTAGTTTGGTATTTTTAGTCTATTACAATGTGCTGCTTAAGACTGTGCAAAATGATAATATCTACTATGTTATTAATTTCTAATTTCAAACCTGCAGCATCTCCTGGCAAATCAGTTGCACAGACCCACCTGTCAGCACTGAGAACAGTCAGGGTAAACACTGATACTCCAACTGATGTTAACTGGATAAAAGACAGCAGCTTGCACCCAATTCTTCCGAAGAGCCAAGTATCCACAATGTAACGTGTTGCATCTATAGGCACACATGTTAACAAAAGCAGCAGGTCTCCGAATGCCAGGCTGGTGATGAAGATGTTGGGAACCGTCTGCATTGATTTAATCTTGAAAAAAACTTTGATGAGTATTGCATTTCCAAGGAGACCCACTGAAATGATCACAGCATATGTAACATAAATTGTGCACAATATTTCTAATCCTGGAAAGGAGTCTTCGGTCCATTTTTCCTTTGTGGTTTCATTATCAGAGCTTGATTTCAGTTCTGTACTATCCACGGATGCACACAAAGTCTGATTAGCTGATTGTAAGTATAATTGAGACATTTCTTTAACCGTTTCTTCTCCCCAGGCTGGACTTGAATTGATAAAAAAAATGTTTAATATTTAGCTTGCAGCATGTCAGCAGGGTCAATGGAAAGGTACAGGTTTGTGTCTGAAACTCAGATTCCTGTTGCACATTAACTACTTTCACCCCCTTCTGGATCTCAAAATATGCCTAGGCGAAATGCACATAGATCTTGTTCTGAACTGGAGAGGAGGAGAATTTTTTTATTGGCTTTTCAGCTAGTGGAACAGAGAGGGAGGAGGAAAAGAGAAACGGTGTTCCTTTAAATACATTAGCTGAAATGAGGTGAGATTTTTACTGGAGATGTCTGGCAAGTAAATATCATATTGTATCAAAACTGTAACATTAGGGTTTGTATATTACATAGCAGACCTTTATTACTGTTGTTCAAAATTTTCTAAAATGAGAATATAATGAAAATCTGAAATAATTTTCTCAATAGTATGGGTCAGCAGAGAATATACTAAATTAACACAAAATTCTTCAGTACACATTAATGGCAGATAAAATATGTTCAGAATATAGTTAGTATTTTCTGACAAAGCTATAGAAACAGACTGTGCTCTTGTTCCAGCGTGGCAGGGTGGTAGAAATGCTGCAACCTCCTTTGAAATATCTCTTTCATAAGCCGCTCAAAGTAAGGCCACAAGAGCAGCCATTTCAAGTCCATGCACAGGCACATGCCACAGACAGCCCAGCGAAGGAAACGCAGGAAGGGTCTTTTCATGATATATTCCAGTGAGGGGTTTATTGCATCCACCATGCCAAAGGCACAAAGAGACAAAAGACAAAACCATGTGGTCTGCAGGACTTCAGTGTGGGGTCAGTGACCGATGACCTGAGGGCACAGAGGTGGGGAAAGGGCAGGGCCAAGGGCAGCAACCTGTAGGGGGATGAGGATGAATAATTGGGGTGGGCGGTGTCCACTGGCCAGTGGTGGAGGCAATCTGATGTAGACTGACTGTAGTGCTGCAGGGCATCAGGGGTTGTCTTCTCTATCAGCCTAGGCGGGGAAAACTCTATGATATAGTCTTCCCTGAGGTGGAGGAGTAAAAGGATTCCACATGCTCTGATTAGCCTTTCTATCACAGAAATGCAGTGACCTTCCAATAGGCAATATAAAACCAACATTTATGGCCACAGTCTTGGTAACACTTGGGGTTTTTTTCCTTGAAACAGTCCCACTGTTTCAATTTATGCCAAAGTATGAAGAAGTTTATAGGTAGTTGCTGGATAGATGCCTGTTATCTTGCAATAACCCATGTACGTATTGGCTTTGAATGGTGCAAATGATGAGTCAAATCTTCTGAGAGAAGATTCCTGATTTCCTGATGCTTTCTCAAGCAGACATGTTAGTAGTAGTATGGGTTTTCTTATCTTTAGATAAGTCAGCAGTCAAATCTCGAATAATCTCATTATGCGCTCAAATCATCTTACTTTGATGAACTCCTGATTAACTTTTCTGTAAACTAAGATACAAGAAATGTGGTGCATTGAACTAAATCTCCTAAAATTAAGAAAGCCAAGATCTAATTTCTAAATAGTGGGAGTGAAAAAGGGATCAAAGGCCTGAAGCTTTATGACTTGAAAATTAAGATCAGTCACTGGAGTATTTTTCCTTCGGATTGTTCCTGAGCTGTGACATTGGAGTGGCGAAGGTACCCTGCTCAAATCACAAAAGCAACCTTATAGCTGAGTCCCTTTAGCTGCACGTATGCAGACACACAAATCAAGCTCGTTTCATTTACTCAAAAAAAAATTCTCTAAGTACTATGCATGAAAAGCCTTATTTTTCCTCCCCCACTCCCAATCCTTTCAAATATAACCATGCCATACATATCAGGTGGTGAAAGACCAGGTGGAAGAATGTACATCAAATGGAAGATCTGTGCTGTGGCATGGTGGGAGAAGGAGTCACTGATAGAGGATTCATGGGTTAAAAATTCCAATTATGCTTTTCGAAAGTGCTTTCAGAAGAGAAGCTCTTGTCATCATCAACCAGAATATGTCCTTTCACGTAGGCGCAGTATGTAGGTTGCTCACAGATTAAGGTACCTTTGAGGATCCTGATTATGTTGTCCACCCACACTGGCATAGTACCATGCATTATGTTTAATAGAGAGTTCAGTAACTGTAGCAGATTGTGACAGCTTAATGTCAGATACTTACATGAAATGTTTCATTTTCCTGTATGGGAGATTCAGGGTGTCACCAAACATTGGGAACTAATTGTACTCCACCAAGTGTTGAGTACTCAAGGGTGGCATCTGAATGACGCATCAGGTGTTTAGCTGAAACTGGAATTGATCTGAAAGAAGTTCATTGCTTGTCTTGAATTGCACTAGAGGTTGGATGATGCACCAATGCTCCACCAGCAGCAGAGATCCCAACCAACTCTTACAGTCCCTGAGCTTCCAGAGCTGTCCAAGAGATTCGGGCTGGCAACATGGACTCTGAGGTTTGGTAGCTCTGTCACTTGAGCATTTTGTATGCTGGGATGAAGGACCTGAGCTGAGATCCCTCTGTGCAACTCATAATCCACAAGACTGGATTCTTGAGCTGTGAGTTGCTCCCAGCGGTTGGTATGGGGGATAATTCAGGTACGACGGGAAAACAGACAGACCTCCCAACCCATATTAAAGCCTCTTGAGGACATCAACATTTGCAACTCCAGAAAGTGGCAAAAGCTTAACATTTCTTTATTCCTGGTACTTCATGTGCAGTCCATCCCAAACTGGACCAGAGTTTGTGTATCTAGAGCCGAATGCCCATTCTGATGTTTGATGCTCCAGAACCCCCCACTATCTGGAAACACAAGACACATTTTTCCCTGCCCTGTCTCTCTCTATCTGGGCACAGTCACATGTCTAACCCTGCTCAAAGCAGCATGAAATTCTACTTGATTTTCTCTTTCCACTGAAAGACTACTTTCCCCCCATCTTTCTGCCTACCTGGGGTAATGTGGCAGCAGGAAGTTTCATCATTTCTCACAATTCTTTCCTCAAATCTTATATTGCTGGAGGTTTTAGGTAGTTGCCCAGCTTCCTTCTTTATGGAGCCTAAAATACTGTCTTAGTAGATCAATAGGAGGTGCAAACCACTATTTTCAAAAAGGACACAAAATAACAATGTCTAGACCCAATAATATCTGAAGGACAGACAGCAAACCACATCTGCAATTTGTTTACGATAGCAGAATTTCAGCTATTTCTTATAGCTTTCTGTTGTTCAAGTCTAGCTCTAAAGGAAGAGAATCATACTGTTATTCCAAACTGTAAAGTACTCGAAGGCATTATTTTGGAGTTTTGCCTCCTGGCCTAAAAAGCAATTTAAGTAATTCTGGCTAGTTTTTCAGGTTCCAGCTTCACAGAAAGTAAATGCTCCTTTTGAACTCCATGCTGCAAAAAAATACAAATAAAATACTCAAGAGTATATAATTTAGCTGTATTTTTAATGCAAATTTTCTGCTTTAATGCAGTGTGACTATTGATTTAAATCATTGCTATGTGATGCATAGTGTCACGCACTCATAAAAATCTTTCAAAACCATTTGCTCTGCACCAAGCCAAAATATGACGAAAACAGCCAAAATCTTAACTTACTCATTAAAGAAAATTATTTTCCAAAATAGTAATTTTTTTGTTGCTTATTTTTGGTATTTCAAGGAGCATTGGTCATGCTGCATTGATCGTTATTTATAAAAATATGTCAGAATGCTTTGCAGCTAAAGTGCTAGGAGGACAAAACTGATACATACTAAACGGCAGCTACATTAACCAGCCTGGTTAAGATAATTTTATTAAAGTTAAGGTAATTGTAACTCACTTTTTTTCAGTTGTTATTTGTATCATTTCTGAATAGAGCTATTTAATAGTCTTAATTCTTCTTTGCCGTCTCAAACTCATTTTAAACCCTTTGATTGTCTCTCCTAGCAGTTTCACCATCTGTTTATTGCTGGCTGATGCATCCTTATGTCTCTCCACTGAGTGAACTGACGTTTATGTTTGTTGGGTGTTAAACAGCAGAGTGATTCTGAACAGCTTGCCTATCCTAGTTCTGATTTGGGTAGACTCTGTTGTGTCATCTTTTAAAAAAGGCTTTTCTTAGGTTAGGATCTCTCCTACAGGTGGGACTGGTTGCTGTCCATGTGCCCAAACTCTTTAGTGCAAAGCTAGACTTCCTGCTGGGACACCACAGGCACATTCCTCCTACTCCTCCCATGATGGAGAAAACTCATTTAAATCTAGCAGTCTGACATGATCAATGTAAATCGGTCTCTTTTAGCAAATCCCAGTAGCCTTCCTTTTAGGTCATGTTTTTCTGGCATGATGGAAAGCTTTTTGCTCCTTCATCAAAAAGTCCTGACCTGGAGTCCTTTAACAACTCCAACTTGTAACACAGACTTTGCATTTGTAACTAAGATTTCTGAAATGTATTTTTCTTCCTAGTGTTTTCTGAGCTGGCTTTGCCACATTTGTTTTGGGAAGAGGAGTCCCTGCTCTAGACACAACCTTCTCAGGAATGGGTGTGTGTAATTTCCTTGTTTCTGACTTACATCAGTCAAAATGTGTTACAGCTTTAGTGTCTTTTCCTTAAACTGAAATTGCCAATGGCGTGACATGTAACGGCAAGATGAGGGAACAAAAAGCCATTTTATAGCTGTGTGATTGTTCCCAATCCAGTTTCTAGTTTTCAGGCAGGCAAGTATTAAGTGGAAAAGCCTGAATGCATGCTGGAGTGAGCATCCATGTCAGAGTGAGCAGTCCATGTTCAGAGCAGATTACTGAAACATTCAGGGCTGTGTTCTGTTCTGCTCTGTCCTTCTGGGAGGGTGGGAATACGTCATTTCCATGTACCACATCGAATGCCTTGCAAAGCATAGAGAACATCACCTCCCTGTCTTGCCAGGCATCTTTTTCAGAGCGAGGAGTCTCAGGCAAAGAGGAGGAATGTTGCAGAGGGCACTGCCCACGCTGGA